TATACTTATTTCTGTCTTCATTTGTAGATATTGGATTTCATTTATCAGTATATGACGGAATAATGGCAAAATACGCGAATAATGCTGATAGTAATGCGTGCCATATCAGAATTGTGAGATACATTTTTAGTTTTTCGCTTATCACCAATATACCGACACAATTTAAGTACTTAAATAAAAGTTGGTATTTGGCGAATTCAATTCAATTCTGCAAGGACCCGGCCAGTTTCGCCAAATACCAACTTCGACGGAACAGATGGCGCTAGCGTAGCAATTTTTTACTTTGACGTCAGAGACATCCTCCATCTTTAGTCTCCCCGTGACCACGGCTGCTGCAAAGCATCCGAAACGTTGGGCCGAAGTTAAAAATCATTTTCAAATAAGTTTAACTAATATATCGCGTTTTAAACCGTTAAAGTGTTTTATTTAAATGTGTACTACTCGCGTAAACTATAGACAGTATACAATTTAAGTAGTTATTTTAAGTATTACATTCTTTATATACTTATGAAAATCACACATTCAGCACGTTCTTTAAATTTGTTTATATACTAGCTGTGTCAGCGACTTCGTCCGCGTGCAATAGTTATTTTGGGCATAAAAATATTTGCAAACCTCTTGTTCAATTCTATAAATGTATGAAGCTACCCACGACTTCGTCCGCGTCGCGTCGTTCTTGCATGTTCTTAAAATATAGACATAATGATACTGTCGCAAACATTTTATAACATTTAATGAGGAATCGTATTTTCATACATAATTCTTGGGTATATTGAACCGTTTTCGAATTAGTTTCTTCCACACCTGATGTTTTATAGCCTGTTAAAAGCGTTCCTCGATAAGTGCTCTAACATTTTTTCAATTCAAAGCAGTAGTTCCTGAGATTAGCGCGTTTAATCAAACAAACAAAGATTCAGTATGGCTTAAAGTGTGTATGTTTATGTAGAGTTTTCGTTTTCCCAAATCTATTGTTCTATTCCGTGGTCTTGTGTACATATTTATATAATTTTGTTATCTAAAATAAAATTTACTTAATCGGAATAAAGTTAAATTTAACCCTACCTTGTAGTTAGAAAACGTTTGTATAGGAAGAAGATAAGAGCTGTTTTAGGGTTTTCCCGGAATTTTTTCGAATTTTTTTTCGCCGTCAAAACCATCCTTAGATTACAATGAAGTGAGTTGAGTGATGCAATCACCAAAACATTTTGCGATTCATTTTTAAATTATAGATTATTTTCGTCATGAGGGTAATTTTCCGATAGTGATCTATCTTACTGATCTTTATATTTTTTGTCGTGTGTATAAGTTTTCTAACAAAAAATAATCAAATGTTTCTTGTACTTTAATATTTCAAAAGAATAAAATGTGACACAAATACTTACTAGGACTATAATAATCAAGCGATATTCTTGAAGTTATTGCAAGTGTTTCAACTATACTTTGTCTAATATAGGATAAGAGTCTGACAGTTTACTTCCAAGAAGTTTTATTATTACATGAAACATATAAAAAAATCTCATGATTTCGCATTAAAATATTCTCGTAGATGATGGTTTAAAAAATATACTTTAAAGATATTAGTTTAACTTTGAAAATGACTAACTACTGCCGGACGTTTCGGATGCTTCGCAGCAGCCACGTTCACGGGTTAATTTCAAGTTAGCTTAACTAATATATTTCGCGTTTAAAACCGTTAAAGTGTTTTATTTAAATGTGTACTCGCGTAAACTACAGACAGTATTTAGTTATTATCCTCATCATTCTCAGTAATAGTATGACTTATCTTCCTATATTAGACATAGTACGGTTGTATTGATTGAATAGCGCTTTGCGGTGGAAAATAAGGCATCCATGTTTGGTTTAATTCCGGAATCCTTGAAACGTTTATTTATTTCGACGTGCTTATGAAAACCTTTATAATTTACATTGGCCGGTTGCCTTCCGTCTGTCGCTCGAATGTCTTTTCTTTGCCAGATTTTCTTTATTTGTACAGTTGCATGCCTGAGACTTTTTCAAAATCAAACTCAAATTCAAACCACACAAGACACATAAAAATAGAACAAAATTAACTTAAATATTAACTTTATAACTACATATAATGCTTAATAATTTTTTTAATAAACAAGAAGAGACGAAGAAAATTAAACTTTGAAAGTGCCTGTGAAATGGGGGGAAACACGCGGCAAGTGCTTACCACCTAGGAGTAGAGAAGAAGCAGCAGTTGTCAGTGCGCCCATGCGAAGTGACCAAAAACTACAGAACTACAAACTATATTTAAAAAAAAAATTTTTAATTATATAAGCCAGAGTTAATTAAGTATAGCGGAAAGTGTGTTGTAAAGTCTACAAAAATCTAAACTCTTAAATTTTGTAATAAATAAATTAAGTATAAAATTCCTTACTATTTTTCTAAGGTTAACAATGACGATACACGTTATGCTTTAATCTCTACGTCTAATCTCTTGAAAGTGTCTAGATCAGGAGATTCTTGGGGATTACCTTGATTAAAAGACCTGTTAGTCAAGCGGTATATTATACACCCGAAATGTTAGGTCGGTAAGATCAAAAATAAATTTGTTAAAATAAAACACTTTAATAGTCTACTAGGCATAATGTATTCATGTTAAAATGTTAGGTCAGGAAGTTCAATAAAGCTTCTTATAAATAAAACATTTCTAACGGTTAAAAACGCAAAATATATAATATGCTTATAAGACTTGGGATGTTAGTGGCAACCTAAAACCAAAACGTCATAGCAAGTATTTGGGAAGGGTTCATAGTGAAGTTTAAACTGGTGATAATTGCCTTATCAATAAGTGCTACGTTACTTATATAATGCACCAAGTAAATCTTCAAAAGAACTTTAACGTAAAATTCATGACTTAATAATCATATTTCAATAAAGCAGATTCTGACAGTTTAAAACACATTATAGTGTCTTTTAATATCTGAAACGTCAGCCGTAGTTATAATAAATTAACTTATTGTTATATTTCGCGTTTCAAATTGTTAATAGTGTTTTATTTAAACATATCGTGTTAACTACAGATAGACTTAATTGATAAGCCTAATTAAATAATCATTGTTTTTCTGATTAATATATTATATATATAGACATTTAAGTATTTTATCTATCATTTTCCATCAACGCACTGCTCGATAAAGTCAAGCAACGGTCAAGGGTGTGCCTAAAAATAACCGCTTATCATTCTTTATTGGAAATCTTAGAAGGAGACGTTGATAAATTATTGGAAATTTTGACGAAATTACTGACAATTTCTATTTTTTTTTTATCTAGTGATAAACAGTTTTATTTTACATTTATCTAAAATAATGAATAAGGCTATACAAGTATATTTAGGCAAATGTGAAATAAAATTTTCAAACATTTTCAAGGCCTCTTTGCCTACGGAAAATCCAATTTTGAATATCAATACTGATTATCTGTCACTATTGGTATTCTATCTTTTGAGACACATAGCGAAAAATACCAATATAAATAAAATAAAAATATTGCGTCATGTCATTCTTATGTTGTACACAAAGTTATTAATTATTTATTTGTACCGACGAACATTTAGTTGCGTGAGAGACGTTTATAAATGGAGTAAGACTTTCGGTCATTAAGGACTTGACACCGTAGCTCAATAAGTGGAGTAAAGAAATCGCGTCTGTTAAAATTAAAAACAATGTTACATTTGCAACAACAAATGTGGGGGCATATGGGAGTACTTATAGACCCACGAATTAGTGGCCTGAGTATTTTCCGATAATCCGAAAACTCAATTAAATCCAACATACAGATAAGAATAATCTTTGTGTTTCAAAGAAATTATTATATTTATTGGTAATTCTTGTTATTTTTGTAATTGTACTCAACGCATCGTATTGTCTACAAAAATATAAACAACACGACATGACAATTAGTAGAAATAAAATAATATTTTATCAACACTACAGTCTGCTTGATGTAATAGTAATTATCCAAGGCAATTGATAATTTGAAAGTATTATTTATAACGTCATAAACATAACGATATTGACCGTAAACTACGTTTTAAGTGTCATAAAACTATTAAGATTCTGATATTGGGTATAAAGTTGAGCTATTTTCGCAAACAAATTATTACGCCATAAAAACTGAGTCAATGAGGACGAATACTTCACGATCATACGTCAAACTGGACAATTTGGTTCGTCTCGAAACATGAAATTCACACACATCAAGTACATATAACAATAGCTGTGCCAGCGTCTTCATCCGCGTAGAAAAAATATTTTGGTTATCAAAATAAGTTTTTTCAAACATCTTTCTAAATTATATTCCCGTCGTTCTTGCAAGTTAATCTTATAATAGACATTTTTTGGACTATTGAAAGAGAGAATTTTTCATACATATTTTTTGGGTATTTTGAATTGGGTGTCCGCGGCGCACGCAACGGAAACCCTCAAAGAAGCCTTCCTGGATAAAAAATCAAACCAAAACAACATTAGAATTTTTCAATTCGCACCAGTTGTTCCTGAGAATAACGCGTACAAACAAATAAACAAAAGAAAAAACTTCTTAACTTTTATAATATTAGTATAGATTGTACAAGTGGCTTTAAAAAAATCGCTTAAAATTAAATAATATATTAAAAATAACTGTGCACATAATATGGTCTATAAAACGCTATTCTTTGTAAGCTTTATTGTACCACGAGAGCCTACGAAATATGTGTTTGTTTTTTCGCGTACATCCATTCATCACTACAGCGATAATAATCGTACTGATAGCAATTTGTATTGTTGCAGGGCGTCGAGGCACGCGGGGCTGACTGACGGCTGAGGAGCGCTATCACACACTCCGTGGACCGCATTCGCGCCGCACGCACCTCGCTTCCATCGCATCCTGTCGATCCCGCTGCCACCGGACACAGTGCTAGTGCAAACGTGAACGATAACCCGAGTGTCAATCCTAGGATCCTAGTGATTAAAGTGCCGGGCTCGATAGCCGAGTGAATGCGCGTCTGTTTCGACACCCTCTGCTTCGGATCGTCACAGCGAACAGCTGGTGACGATGAGCCGAGGGGGATAGTCCATACAGGAGGAGGAGCTCTTACCGTGGCGCCCACGGTCAACGGCGACAGACGAGCGCTAGACGAGACTTATAGAGACGAGTTGAACGGTATAATGGGGACGCCCACGGCCATGAATTCCGATTCAGAGAATTGCGTGGCTAACGCAGCTATGTCCAACGATATGGCCCCGTTGATAGATAGGATTAGGGAACTGGAAGCGTTGTTGAAGCAGCGCGACCAGGAGATGGTGGAACTCCGCTCGCAATTGGACAAATTGCAGAGCGTGTTCCCCTACCAGCAGTACGCTCGGGGGTCCAGGGCACCCAGAAAGCAGAGGGCCCAGGGTATCTCAGCGGAGCCGCAGACGAGCTCTTCCTTGCAAGATTTGGCGCACCAAACGTTCCCAATCTATGACAAGAACGAGACGTGAGTATTGTATTTATCGAATCTAATCTGAAACACTTCATTATTTATCTTGCTCGTGTAAGAAGTTACATGGAACATTCCCTTGGAGCTTCAAGGGAGATTGTCCACTTGACTGTAATAAGGCGAAAAATTGCTTTAACAATTAACGCTATTTCAAATAAATTGTATCGCCCTTCTCTCCTGTGAGGCTGTGACATAGATTAGTATGCTAGTTTTTGCTTCACGAACTTGAAGCCTTTTGTCAAGAACAAGTGTTTGAATTGAACCTTATTGGCTGAAGTGAAGCGATGTAATTTGGTTTATTACTTTGAAAATTATATAAATACTTTTACATAATATGTAAGAAAAATACTCGTATTACTTATGTTAAAAAACAGATGATATTTTTTAATTACGTTTTTATGTTGAAACCCGAATCTATTGGACACAATATGTAACAACATGTTTTAACGGTTTGTTGGAATAATTTACGGGACGTGGGTTCGATACCCACCCAATCTAATTAACAATTATATATGTTTCTGAAACATTTCGGCCGTCGCCTGGAAAGTCAATATTTTAAATTGTTGACGTATTCATTTCCGTCCGATTCACGAACTACCGTCCAATTTCGAATACGGAAAGTTATAATAGATCGGCAGCGTTATAGTATAGGCGAGGGTTGCATCTAGAGAAGTGAAAAAACGGGGAAAAAAGTGAAAAATAGGACGACAACATAAAGTTGAGTAACTAACTCGTCACTGGCCCGCCTATCACACATGACTTCAAAGCCACTTCATAAATGGACATTCGCGGCTAATGATCAGATAATTTAATTCTTGGAAATGCAAACCGATTTTTAATGCGGTCGATTGTATCTGACCACGTGCAGAGAACCAATGCCGAATAGCTTAAGAACTGAGTTGTAATTAATCTGTTCATACAAAATGCTTGACTGACTCATATAACAGCTGAAAACTTAGTGACGGGCCCCTTGGTGTAATGATCATAATCAACGGGTCGTGGATCAACATTGTTCTATTCCATCTATAATTTTACTGAAACATGTTGGAGTTCGTTGGAAATCTGGATATTAAATAGGATGTAGAAAAATCGCAATTCCGGTTTAAAATCGAGCCGTGAAGTTTAATCGCGCTTTGGTTTCAGTCTGTGGATTTCCGAATACCTCATATTGTTTAGATGTTATCTATATGTCTGGTATATTTTACCAACCACCAAGTGAATCAACCAACACTATGCTGCTTCTCTGTCCCCTCTCTAATATACAAAAAAAATGATGTTATGTGTAACCTAGGCTTTGAATGAGAGAGTTTGGAATTATATCTTTTACCTAAGTGGGTGATGAAGGACAAAATTTACTTGTCACCGCCTATTTCAAAAAATTACCTAAACGTTTTTTGAATTCCTTAGAGTGACACAGTCTTTATTCTAAAAAATAATGTCGTTGTGGACAAAAATGTAAATGCTCTAACAATGTTTAATTAAATTTAATTGTTAATTACAGACAATATCTACATATTGTCTGTAATTAACAATTAAATTCAACATTTTAAACGGTTTAAAATTAAATTATAATAATAGGTTGACTAAACTTTCGCGTTTTAAACCGTCCAATATTACTTGCCCATTTAACATTTTGTGTAAAGCCGCAGAGAACCTCTAGCGTCGTAAACGTGTTATAGAATGATTAGAATTGTATAGACTTTTCTTGAGATAAAGTAACACTTAACTGCTAATGATTAGGCTGGCTGTGCTATGTAGCTCATTATAGCTTACTTCATTTATAGAGAACGTGATTTGGATTTCCCAAAATAGACGAGGTCGGAAACAACCTGAGTTATTTAAACTTATTGATTTATTACGAGAATCATACGAGCGTTTGTGCTTGGAATGGCGTTAATATTTACACATTACTTGCTTATTGTGTGCTAAACGCCATTGAAGATAATTCTCGTGTTTACAATCGACGGTAAGTAGTCCCGTGACTGCCAAACATGAAATTTGTTCAAGTCATTTGCACTCGTATCATTATCGTAAAATTTACTGTCAATAATCCTGTGAATTTCCAAACAAACAGTCATGCGGTTAGTTACTTGTTTAATTCTCGTTCGTTATTGATAAAAATACCCATCACGATGAAAAAAATCAGTTACAACTAATTAGAACGCGGAAAATATTATTTATATTATGTTTAGTTTACACATCACAGTTAGAACATCACAGTTAAAAATTTAATTCTACCATATATATATATATATATATATATATATATATATATGGTAGAATTACATTTTTAACTCTGATGTTGTTATATAACATTTTTAACCATTTAAGGCGAATTTAACTTGTTTTAAGTACCGCCCGATGTTTCTGAAAACTCCCTGTGACCACGACTGCTGCAAAACGTCAAAAACGCCGGGCCGTATAAAATAAGTCAACTAACTTTAATTCTATGTACACTATAACAAAAGTCTGTGAAATTCAACATGTGAAGCTGATAAATATGATCGTAACAATAAACTCTGGATTTGAATCTAGGACACATTTTATTATTGACCTACTCAGCGATTTTGACATTTAACATAAGAAGTTCAATAGAAGATACATAAGAACACCAGACCTATACTAATATATACAGCTGAATATTTTGTTTCTTTGTTTGAACGCCCTAAAAAATATTTTTGTGTTGGTTAGAACATTTATCTAGAAAGGCTATAAAACATCCCCCGTTGACTAGTAAGAGCGAAGAAACAGCGAGAAATGTGACAAAAATTGGGAAAATTATTCATCATTATGGGTTTCCGAGGCGTACGCTGCAACAACGGTTCAAGATACCCAAAAATATGTATGAAAAATGATTCCTCTTTGATTGATCTAAAAAAAAGTCCGTAACGCTATATGTCTATCTTTTAAGATTATCTTGCAAGAACGACGTGGAGCAACTGTCATCGTGGGTATCAGCTCAAGTTTATAAGGGTAAAACGAATTTGGATGCCCAAAATAACGATTTTCGCGGACGAAGTCGCTGACACAGCTAGTACATAATAAAATAAAAGTATGTCAAAGCTTGTGCCCGTGCTATAAGCATAAATATCTTATTTGTATTATTTGTATACGGCGATTTGATCATAAAAGTTTATTTTATCGAACCTTCAAGGTATCATACCGTTAAACGCATATAATGTCTGTCGTAAATAACTTAATGTATACATAAATACAATTCTATGCAAAATTAATGAGTCGTAATCGCGTTGACATAACATTAAACGAAGTGGACCCAAAATCATCAATTACGCCAAGGCATTTAATTTTAACTTTATTGAGATTTTTTTATGATAGAGGGGGACAGATAAGCATGGGAGTCACTTGATGGTAGGTGGTGAACCCCAGCTTGTTATAAGCTTTATCTTTGGATCTATTTTGGCTTTGGATATTCGGAAATCCACAGACTGAAACCGAAACGCGATTAAGCTTCACGGCTTTTTCATCTGTGGACGGTGGTCGTGACCGGCCATTTAATATCCAGATTTCCAGACGAAGTCCCACATGTTTCAGAAAATTAGAAACATTAAACCCACGACTCGTTGATTAGCCATACCCATGTACCCAATTGCACAAAGTCTACAGAATTGTAAGTAAGAACAAAGTTGGAAATAACATAAATTCTCAAGATAAAGACATTATTTTTGCCATCGCGTGATCTGTCTTACATTTTGGTTGCATAATAAGCAAGAGGGCAAGTGTAATAATTTGTATACAGTGGCCATAACAAAATACATTCATTAAACAGAATTCACACTCAGTAATGGAGTAGCACTAGACGAAGATCACAAATCTAAGAGGATTTCCAATGTTAAAAACAATATAAATTTAATAATTTATTTAAAATACGATCAACACTCAAAATAATAACATATCTGTTCAAAAATAAAATGAATTATATTAACAACGGAATGGGACACCCTGTATATCACACAAATTGTCACATAAAGCAACCGTCGATTTAACCACATATACAAAGTAAATCGAAGAACATAGCGCGTTGCACAATGCAGGTTGAGTGAACCTACACGTTCGCAACACTCATATCAATTCAGGCGACGCCATCAAGAAATTTTACACAATACGTTATCAATAAGTTCCTTGACTCGAAGGTTTTCACTTGAAAATGGAAATTTTGACCTGAAAGTGTTATCTCGTTTGGATGGTTTGTGAAAATTCGTACAGCGATATCTTGTTTAATAAATACATGGGCTTGAAATTAAAATTAAGTTAAAAGTAATTTAATTTAAATTGTAATATTCTTCACATGATGGCATTATATAAATAAAAAATCGGTTTTAGATAATATAAAAAATACGACAGGGTTATGAAGAATTGTTGGTTAAATTACATTGCGCGAGAGTTGCATGTATCGATAGGTTGAAAGAGTTCGACAATGACGTGTAGGGCGCAGTAGCTCAATTTAGGGCAACGTGACGAAACGCTGTAGATGCCGGTTCAAGTCCCGCCCGTGTAGGTTTTTTTTTTCAATTAAATGTCGTCTTTAAGTATTTTAATGTCTTGCATTCCTTTAGTTCATAAAACATTTTAAAATTGTTTAGTTCGCAAAACGTATAAAAATGTTTCATGAAGAAGAATCACACAATAAATGATGCCCGACGACAATATAAAACTACTGTGCCACAACAATGATTCAAGAGCACGAACATGAGTGTTATAAACCACGTAACGATAACGATTAACGTGATATGCACTTATCACAACAATATTATCCATTATCATGTTTGCATAAACCTGAAATGAATTATATTTAATTTGACATAACCTTAAACCCATGATGCGGAGATAAAAATAATTCGGCGGTCATAAAAGAAGCTAAAAATATTTTTTTATCTTCGTAATAATCGAGGAAAAGACGTTATGAAACAAATGAGGAACTGTGGAGTAATTTAGAGAACTTGTCTATTTATGATAGTCTTACGCACAAGGTCAATAATAAGT